ATCATTGTCTGCATGAATAGATGGAATATGATTCTCTTTTTAATTTTCACTCTGTGTAATGATCCTTTTGTCGTAATTAGTAACACACGTTTCTAGACGAGTCAAATTATTATAAATTAAATCAAATATATAAAAAGATACTAATATTATGATGCGTAGTAAGTATGATGAGATTGATCGCATCATATACTTGCACAACAAACTTATTTAGAGATACATATATTGATATAATTTTCTACATATATAATTAAATTTCACAACATTTGACTTCTCGAGAAACAAGACGTGCAGTTATTTTGGGACAGGTGGAGTATATTACTGTGGCGCGTCCACTGTCTCTGTCCAAAAAATATCATTCTACATTTGAGCTAAATTAAATGTTTTTAAATTTGACCAGACTTATATTGGACAACTGTTGTGATGTATATGTCTTCATTTATATGCGTAATTGACTTCATCTTGTCAAAATGGGTTGGCCGGCCGAAAATTCTCACCCGTTGCGCACTCGCAATAATTCCACAGCCGTAGCTAGCAGAAGCTAAGCTCCAGTCCAGGTCACCGGTCACGTTCCCCCAGCGCGTCTTGTCCGCCGGCCCCCAACGTACCCCCTTCACTGGCCCTCGCTGCGCCCCTTCGCAGTAAGGCAGTAGAAGACGAGGAGGAGACATCAAGGCGAGGCAGCAGAAAAATGAGGAGGGAGATGCAACACCTAATCTATTTTTGAAATATCTGGATACAACACTTGCAACATACGTCTAAAGAAGATGAAATATTTAAAACATGTTTCTGAAACACTTGCAAAAACACCTGAAAAAACACTTGAAAATAACTGCAACACATACGCAACATTTAGATAAAACTCTTGCAACATATATGTAAAACATATACAATATTCAGATAAACACACTTGCAACATACGTCTGAAAAAATAAATAAAACATTGGGAATCGATGTTTGCAACATAGTGTACAACCATTGCAACATATGCAACATCCCGATCTACTTTTGTAACATCCATACAAAACCCATGCAACATACCTCTAAGACATATGAAACATACGCTTGCAACATGCGCTTTTAGCGCAAGCGCAATGTCATCTTGTTGCTTGGACGAATGGAGTTCGTCGTTGTGGAGCTCGACACCGGCATGGAGCTGGATGCCACAGAGTACGCGGAGGTCGCCGGTGCGGAGCTCGGCGGCGGCACGGACCTCAGCAGCGGCCACGGTAGGTGGATGGAGCGCAGCCGCGACGGGAGGCATGAGTACGGGTAGGGGGTGTGCGGCTCAGGTGGGGGGCGCTGCCGGCGAGCAGAATCCATCCTGCGACCGCGAGCTGGGGCGCACAGCACAGAACGACACGAGTGACGCGGATAAGTGGATGAGGATGAGCCACGAGATCCGGATGAAAAGTCACGAGAGCGACGTGGGCGAGTGGACGAGGATGAGCCACGTCCGAATGGAAAGTCACGGGACAGACACCCGAGCCATATCATTATCCTTTTAAAATTCCTCTGATCACGCGACCCTCTTCATTGCTGCACCCTTCCGTTTCCATGGGCTGCCAGGGTACTTCCCATGGGGTCCCTAGTGGAATTTTAATATGGCTAATCATATTAAAATTTTATTACTTTACTAACTTTAGTCTATCTATATATTTTTTCTTAAAAGTGATAAAAAATTTATGATACCTAATTACATTAAAATTGTACACCGATCCACTGAAATGTATGTTCTGTTCCACTATTTCTCATTCGAATTTTACTTGCACTTAGCAAAGTTTTGGAGCAATATTTTGTTCCTTGATGACAATGGATGATCTTTCGTGTACCTTTTTATTCTTCATCATGTTTACGACTTTTGTACCCGGCGAAGTGCCGCGAGAGTCTGGAATTGCAAGTGTATCCTTAGTTTCAGGCAACTCACTCACCAATGTAATCAGGTGAAGTGCCGCAATTGCACAAAAAATGGCGCTCACAAGTTAATACAAGCTTAAACTTAAAATTAGTTTGTTCCCGTTGCAAAGCACGGGTATGATCCTAGTGTGATAAAAATATAAATAACAATACCTAGAATACTTCTGGTGAAATGCTACGATGGTAATATGTGTGCTTGTAGGATTTTTATTTTCTAATTTACACTTACAAATACCAATAGATGTCGAAGGTGTCGACAAAGGTCTTAAGCCGTTATAGTGGTCGAAGATGGTGTCAAAGCCCATATTGCGAAGTGTTGGCAGAGGTGAGTCATAATGCTTCACCAAAGGTGTTGGCAAAGTCCCTCCCGCAAAGGTGTTTGGCGGAGGCGATGTTGGTGTAGACGCTGAAGGTGTCGACAAAGCCCCTCGCGCTCGATGTGTTGAAGGAGGCAAGTTGTTTCGGTTTGGCGAAGGTGTCGTTGAAGTTCCTCTTGCCAAGGATGGATAAGTAGCATGAAACTACACAACACCTGAGTTGATAGGATGCATTTTTTAGGACTTAAGTTGAGCATTGTAGCTTCATTCAATATCAACTTGCTGGCAAGTTTGCCAACACTCAAAAAGACACTGGCTTTCTACTTGCTGCAAAAGATGGTTAATCATTTCATATAATATGGGAGGGTAGTGCAAAGGTTTTAGCTTCACCTCCTGGTGCCCATGTATGTTTGGGACTTCTTCTAGGTTTCTGTTGAGTCCTGGTGCCTATGTATGCTCAGGATTTCTTCTAAGTGGCTCGGGCCATGCAGTGCAATGCATGTATGTAGTGTATGTATGTATGTATGTGATGGTGTAAATGAATGCATTTGCATGAAAATATTAAGAAGATTAAACATATCATGCACTCTGCACGAAATGATGGTTGTGCTTGTGCAAAAGATAAACTCTATACATGATTATAGATATGACTTATAGTATTGAAAGTAAAAAATATTAGTTTCCTACAAAGGTTAGCTTAAATCAATAAGCTTTGGCTAATTGCATATTATGAAAGTGTAAAATTATTAAACAATACATCTTGAAAAAAAGATACAAAGTGTTAGTGCTAGAGGGATGAGAGGTTTGATACCTACCAATGGTTGATAGTTGATGGAGTTTAATGGTTCATGAAGAGAATTGGCGACCGTTGCACTGAAGAGCAATCATCGACAAATTCTGATAATTTCCAACGACTTGGCACTTGATGAAACCCCAATGCGAAGGACAATATTTGTGAAATCTGAATGCCATTAGACCAAAATCTGAGGAGACCAACTGCCCGATGAAGGTAACTTGAGTGATGAAAACCCAAGAGCCATTTGAGAAAGATATAGCAAAGACCAAATATTCTATGAAGACCACTGACTAATGATAACCATTGACCGATGAAAACTACAGAGTGATGAAAACCATTGATTGATCAAGACCATTGACTGATGAGATTCACTAACTCATGAAACCCACTGACCAACGAAGGCCACTGACGGATGAAAAATCACTAATTGGTGAAAGCCACTTACTAACAAAGGCCATCGACGGATGAAAATTGTTGACTGATGAAAACCACTGACTGATGAGATCAACTCACTGGTGAAATCCACTAACTAGCGAGAACCACTGACTGATGAGGAGGTGGAAACCTGCATACAACGAGGCAAATATATTATATCGGATGGTTGGCTTGGGAGAGTATGAAACACTCACAGTGATGAAGTAACAAAAAGAGACTCAACATAAAAAAAAATAGGTGTTTTAGTTAGCCAGTTGAGGACAAGCATGTATAGTCACTTAGGTCATGCTTTTGGTGTATTGGCGGTTGCAACAGCTTTTCTAGTCACCTTGGTGACTTGTTTTGAGTGAAGGTTAATTTTTGAAATTTGCCTCGAGAGTTGTGATAAAATAAATCATAAGAAAAAAAATTGTTAAGCATTATAGGTTTGTGAGAAATATTCACTTGAATTGGTTTGGTTCCTACAATGGGGCATTTCTAACATGTGTGTAAAAGGTTAGTAGCAGTCCATTCTTTGTAGTGGCCGCAGTAATATGGTATGGTATGCAATAAATAAATAATCCTAGCTTGTTTACGATATGCAGATGTTTTAAGTGGCCATGAGATTAATGAGATTGGTATTTTTTAACAATAATAACAAATGATGGTTTTACGAACTATGTAGGACTCTTATAATCTACTTCTTTGTACAATTAAATGCCCATTTATACCAATTATTTATGGTATATATGCTTAAATTTACATGTAATTATCATATGCCGCTACTGAAACTTAGTGTCGACAATAGCACCCATTATCCGCGATCCGCTACATTAGCACCAATTCGCTACTGACCCAATATACGCTATTTAGTACCTTGAATATGACATGCAAAACGTGTTGGCATACCAAATTTAAAGAGAAAAATAAGCATTAGTCCCGAGCATACCTATTTTGGGTGCCAACAAGAAGACGTTGCTACATCCTTGCTTGTTTGCGTGGCTTCACACAGATCGGAGCATGGTAAAAGGCAGTGGTGCCTCTCTACTCTCTTCCCTCTTCCTCTTTGTTTCTCCTCGAGCTCTTGTCTCCCCCAACCGCTCTCTCGCCAAGCACCAAGGCGGCAAGCATGCCACACCGTGTTGGCCCCTGGTCACCGATCACGATCAGTTCCTCCGGTCGAGGGTCCACTTTCCCCTCGCACCGCTCCACATACCGCGCACCATCCACCTACAAGGATCACCACCGAGACGATCAAGAAATCGATCAACAACAAGGTGAGAACAATCCAATTAAGGATTGGACAATCAGCACCAACAATGGATCGAGTAAACAAATGCCCAACAAGTTGTAATCAAGAAATCACCATGGTGCTCACAAGCCTCTAAAATGCGCACGGACAGGAGGATGAGGAAGGCAGATCTGTAATTCCGTGTTACACTACTAGTAATACAATTTTTTCCCAAGCCTTGTTCATATATATTCAAGTGCGGGAGATCGATACAACAACACCCCTGCTTTTACAACCGGCCGGCCGGCCAGCGCGCACGCGGACGCGGCTAGTGCCCGTGCGCGTGCGCATCCCCCGACTGCTTGACGACGACGGCGATGTTGAGGACGTTGTCCACGAGGCGCCAGACGTTCCGTTGCACGGCCAAGAAGGGGTCCTTCATCTCCGGGAAGTCCTGGAAGGCGTTGTCGCAGTCGCCGGCGCTCGTGACGGCGTCCGACAGCTGGGTGTTCATGTCGACCTGGGTGCCCTGCTTGGCGACGATCTTCTGCGTCTCCTCGAGCGTCTGCACCACGTTGTCGTACCCGGTGCTGCAGGCCCCGAGGATGGACTCCATCGGCCGGCCCTCGTGGGACCTCGCCGCGTACACGTCCACCCGGCTCTTGGCCTCCTTCGCCTTCTCCGCCGCGACGCGCATCGACGCCAGCAGGAGCTCGCGCGGCGTGGTCACCTTCGGGAGCTTCGTCAAGCTCTGGCACATCTTCTTGAAGCGCACCTGCATGCGCGTGATGCGGCACAAAAGAAACCGGAGCATCGATCAGCAAATCCCGTGCCATCCACAGACTGACAGACAGATCGATCGACCTATGCAAAAATTCTCATGCATTGCACAGCACAATAAAAAGGGGATGTGGTGCGGCGGTGCCTACCTGGTTGCATGTCTGCTGGCATGCGTCCTCGCCAATCAGCTCGCGGACCACGCGGGCCTCGGCGGTGGCCGCGAAGGCCAGGAGGAGGAGGAGGGAGGCGACGATGATACTCGAGCTCTCCATGGTGTCTGCCGTTCTCGTTTCTCTTGACCGCCCTCGATTGTTATGTCGAGAAGTGTAGAGGGCGGTGGTCTAAGAAACAGACGCGAAGGCCGAGAGAATGTACAGGCCGATGGTTCTACTTCCAAACGGCGTGTAGTTTGACCATGGCTTTTCGGCTTTTCCTTGGGTTTCGTGGTTCCCCGCCATGGTCTCTCAGGACCATAGTGGCCATTGGTTCCCTACCCTAGTATTTTTTCCAAAGTACATGTGTTAGCATGCGTGGCTGCATGCACCTTGCCGCACATATGCATACATCCATGGACCCCTTGTTTAATATATACTTAATTAAGTTTTATAAACTATTAAATTTAATTAAGTTTTAGCGCAATGAATTATAGAGCGTAACGAGGCATGAAATCTAGATGGTAGCACACGAGTCATGATATTTGTACACATAAAATCAAGTGTCATGAGGTATTTGAAGCCATGCACCATAACATAGAGCATAATTTTAGAAAAAAAATTAAAACTAGTTTTAAAATTTTTTGAGCTAAAACAAATATCTATGAATTTTCTAAAACCGGATTTTAGGATTTTTAATTATATATTATCATGTAAAAATATGTTTGTTTACTTTTTTGAATTTTTGTAAAATTTTAGATATTTTTCTATTAAAATATTTCTTATCTGATTTACCTCTTAAACTTTCAACTTAGTCCAATTTACCTCCTCAGGCGTGGCGCCGCATCAGGAAAACGACCATCAAAACAACCATCAAAACCATTAGGGTGTAGAAGTGAACATTTTTCAAAAGTTGAGAGATGTTAAAAAAACTAGTTTTGTAGATTTGCAGGAAAACCAGACGACCACAATAGTTAAGGAGGTAAATTAGATTTTTTTATGCAAAAAACAAGATGGCGAGCGGATAACATATGGGGCCGTAATATACATCTTCCGTTGTTGCCTCGTGACCCGTGACCGTAATCCCAGTTGGTACGCTCCAATATGCGAAGTCACCCTTTGATCTGCTGTCAACGGTGGAGATCGCCTGACTGCACTCGGCAGTCGGAGAGGGCGAAGTCAGAGGATCTCGTTCCCCCCCCTAAACATAGCTGCTTGCGTTCCCAACTTGACAACAGAAAGCTGTGTATTAATGATCGGTCCATCGAAGCCTACTGAGCTAGTCCGATATGCTCTGAACGTGTATTCATGCCCTATCACAAGAATCTGAATCGTACACAAAAATGGTACTCCTAGCAGTCTTAGCTGGAATTGTATAGGAATACTGAAAACCAAAGTTGGCAGCAACATGGTTCTTCAGTTCACACAGATCTGCACTAGAGGACTAGTCCTAGGGGGGTGCGGGAAACGAACATCTATAGTTCCAAAATCCAGAGCAACTAGTCAGCCTGTTCGAGAGGCAACAAAGAGATTTACAAAGGAGCAGGAGGGGAGCAGCTAGCAACAAACAGAACATAACATAAGAAACAAAAAAAGACAAAGAAAATGAGGGCTGCCAAGCAGGAACTGCCACAGATTCACGAATCTGAATCTTCTTCTCGGTCTTCTTCAGAACGCTGCGGGACGTCGTGCTGGACGAAGTCCTCCTTGGAGAGGCAGGACTCCGGGATGACGGTGCCGATGCTCCTCCCGAACGCCTTGCGGCAGTAGGACGACGCCTTGTTCCCGTCCACCCGGCTAAGGTTCACGTTGACGAGCGACAGGTGCCTGCACGGCTTGGCGTCGCTGCACGAGAACGTGACCGCATGCTTCGACGCCGACGTGCCCGTGATGTCAATGTAGTTGATCTTCTCTACCTGCACTACCGTCGCTGCAGCCTGGGCGGTGCAAGATTTCCAACGTGAAAGTTCAGAGATACTGGATACTCGTATGCTGCCCATCATCGTAGCTGTGAAAACAGACAGTGATGGAAGTTTGATCAGCGTGTGTACCGGTGCTACTGCTTCAGATGAAGCTGGCAGATGGTCGGAGTTCCCCTGATCGACGATGATGGGGTTGGTGACGTTCCTCATCACGATGCTCTCGAACTTCACCTTACGGGCGAAGCCGCCACCGCCACTCTGGAAACGACATGAACCGCACAGGTTTTACAGAGCTTTCACCTGAGTTCCTCACACATATGAGTACACTGTTCTGATTCAGGTGAAGAAATGGTCAGTCGCTGTTACCTTGGTGGTTCTTACGCGTACACCGTTCTCAGCGTTTGAGATGAACAAGGTGTCAACTTTGATCTTCTCCACATAATCAACGGAGTTGTTTACTCCTAAGGTTCCAATACTGGTCACAATCCGACACTGTTAGTTGTGCTAGCAATCGAGGAACATGTGGAGAAATGGAAGTCTGAAGAGGCAACAGTCAGTTAGTTACCTGATACCATGGCCAGGTCCACATGAGATGGCTCTTAGACGAACATCCTCGCAGTTGCCCACTATGGAGACACAATCGTCGCCTGTGGAAAAAAAAAGTAGAAAACATGAACAAATCATATGACATGATTAACGAATTAGCAGCACAGTTTGTCCATTTAATTGTGCAATGCGCAAGTGTTTTCAGTTTCCATTCTCCAGTGTTCATTCTACTGAATTTTCTGGCCACTTGACACATCCACTTTTCCGGAATTGTGTTCCCTGAAACTGCATGACGCAGGGAGAGGAAGGACTAACAGAAAGGGCACGTACCTGTGGAGATGAGGTTATCCATGACGTGGACATTGAACGAATCAACGAGGTGAATGCCCTTGGTGTCGATGCTGTCCTCCGGCGAGGTCACCCTCAGGTAATTCGCCTCGACGTCGGAGCTCCGGGTGAACGTCAGGTGGTACGACTGGCTGTTCTGCAAGGTGATGCCCTTCACGCTGATCCCCTGGCAGTCCTCGAAGTGAACAGCCTGCAGATGAAAGACACGGCGGTGAGTTGCTCCCAACTCTGTGAGCGGCGCATAAGCTCACCTTGGGAGCGGGCTGAGCTCACCTTGGGAGCGGGCTGCGCACGCATAAGCGACGATTGCGCCCACCACTGCTGCCCTCTGCCGTCGATGATGCCCCCGCCGGTGATCTTGAGGTCCTGAACCTTGTGGAAGTGGAGCCACTGGCTGCGCTGGCCCTGCCCCCAGTCGCTGGGGCTCTCCGGCGCAACGATGTCCCCGGAAATCTGAGAAACCGCAAGTCAAGAACTGAAGAACCAGTGCGCGTGAACAGAGAGACGATAGCGGATGCGGTTGCGCGTGCTTCGCTTACGAGCAGCTTGATCTCGCTCCTGCAGGGACCGGCGAGCGTGAGCGGCCAGATCTGGAAGGTCCCGCCGGCGGGCACGTTGAGGATGACGTTGTCCCCGGCGGTGCACGCGGCCGTCCACGCGTCGGCTAAGGCCTTGGGAAAAAGACGAGACGTTGGTGTTCAGTCGCATTGGGGCGAAGGCATTGGGCCTAGCTACTGCTGCGGCAGTGCGGTGGGGTACCTTGGTGTCGTCCGCGACGCCATCGCCGACGGCGCCGAAGTCGTGGAGCGTGAGGAGGATGCGGGACTCGGCGGCGTCCGGCAGGAGAGCCGCAGCGAAGGCGGCCGCGAGCAGAAGCAGCACGGCCCCCCGCGCCATCGTCGAACAGAACGTCCGCAGTAGCAGTAGCAGATGCAGAGCAGAGTGACACCACTCACTTGGGAGGTGGGCGGCACACGAGCGGGGTACTTGAAGCACGCAGAGCAGAGCAGATAAAGATGGCAATGGGGATCACGACCCGATACCTGACGGGTATTGACTTCATTAGGGTTTAAATATGGACTAAACACACTACCCACGGGTATATAAATGGATCAAACCCTTTATCCATCGGGTACGCGGGTGTGGGTATGTTCCAGCAATTCTCGTACCCGTTTACCCATGGGTGAAAAATACCCGGCCCAAAACTAAATAAGCCACTAGCCCATGTAAAACCCTAGGTTCACCCGTCGGTCCCGCCTGGCGACTTGGCCGCTGGAGCCCTCGACCTCTCGAGGGAGGCTCGACGCCTGGCCTCCCACAGTCCCGCCGCCGAAAAAATAGGCGTGTGAGTAAAGCGCGTCGTAATATAATGATTTATGACAGAACGACTTTGTGTGATGATGTAATGTGACTGCTGGTTGCAGAAGATATTATTATATGCTATTATTTATCTAATTTTATGTGCTCTGGTTAGTGGTGGTTGCTGTTGAATTATTGATTTTCATGTGTGTGAATAAATTATTGGCGGGTATGGATGACCCGTCGGGTATGAGTCTGGAGAAAATTCTCCACCCATGGCGGGTATAGGTATTCTGACGGTACCAAATTTTTATGGCGGAGATGGGTCTGAGGTGGCCATATCCGATGGGATTTACCCATTGCCATCCTTAAGAGCAGACCACAGCCTCGAAGTGGGGCGCGGACGGATGGCGATATGGGTGCGCGCGCGCGTGCACACTGCACAGGGCAGCGCACGTACGTGTGCCGGCGTGCGGATGGGAGTGCTAGAAGCTCAGAACGGCCAGAGGCCCAGAGCAGGTAGGTGGAGGTGCGCCATCGAGCAAGGTTGGCTTTTGGCTTTTGGCTCTGCGAGACAAGATCCGGAGATCCGGTTTTACAGGTACTCTTTCGAGTCTCGAACGTGCGCCGAGCTCATCCCATCGTGCGATCTAAACAAAATGGAAACGGTATTAACAAGGTCAGCGCTACTGCTGCACTGCAGATCATCCATCGTGTTCGTGTCAGAACAGGTGGCTTTAGTGACATTTTCTAAGCGATCCGTTTATTTTCTTTGCTCACACGACCAGCGCACGTGTTTTTTTTTAATTTTACTTCCATAGCATCAACATATAATTAAGAAATGGAGATGAAAACATCCAATTCGAAATGTTTACGTTACAACTCGGCTAAAGCCTCACAATTCGAAATAAGCATATATGCTTAGAAGGCCGCCGCCAACTTTGCACAAGAATGAGGGCTTGTGCTTCTGCCTCTAAGGGATCCAAAACTTTTGGAATAGACGTGAAAAAAAGGAAGCATGGCCTCGTGGAGTCGTGGGGGCTTCTAGCAGGTTGAGTTAGAATTGAAACATCAATGCATGTTTTGCTATTTGGATTGGTGTCTTGAATAGCCATCGAGGCATCACAAAAAGTTTAGACCTAGACATTGTTTGCAAATGAGATTTGTGGGGGGTAACACACATTGTTAGCCACAGGAAGAACCTGTGTCTGAGAATTTGAATCAGAGTCAGTATCAGCAACCAAAGAGTAGGCCCCATCATTTGCTTTAGCCTGATACAAGACCTTTTGCAAAGAGTCAGTATCAGCAACCAAAGAGTAGGCCAATCTCTGTTATTGAATCTGATATCATTTTTAGCCTCCCAAATGCAACACGTAATGGAAGATCAAACCTGCAGAATTTTTTTTTAGAAGATCAGGAGGGGCAAACCTGCAATAACTTGAGATGGTGATAACGGCCTACGAAGCCCGTTGATAGTTACGTGGGCCAACGAAGCCTTCTCAACAAGCAAACGGCCCAATGATTCTCTATGGCCCACTCCATCTTAGAAACAGTTGTTGCGGGTGTTTGGAGTTCGCCACTTGACGTGGCTAGATCATTTCCAATTCTAAAAAATAATTGGTAAATTAATAATTTTTCAAGTGGCTAAAAAAGTTGGGCGTATATTTGTTAAGTTCATCCAACTGTTTCTAAAATATCATTCTCAAAAGATAGAAGACAATTTTACATCAAAAGAATCTCAGACTATTTTCAAACCACCTCAACATTTTTATACTTCACTAGCAAATATGTCCGTGCGTTGCAACGGGACGTATATTTTGTGACGAGGTCACCTGAAATTGTACCTCAGAGATTTATTTAACTATCACGTCATGCATTTGAATTCACGTCGGAATCAAACTCCATATTATGCCTGGACACCGTGTTGTTCACTCTAACCCGTATGAGAACTGAACAGAATGGCCAAACATGAAAACGCTGGATATTCTAATTTGTTTGGAATCGGAGTCCATCCCATATCTGAACACACTATTCTTATTTGTACGGCACAAGAGAGATTAGGTCCATCAGATCCTCAGCAAACATTTGTGAAAGACGGGAAAAAATTCTCTCTCTACTATTAGAGACATTCGTATATTGCTGGTTAGAATGGTAGCACATCAACCTGACCCAGGCTTCAAGCTAACCATAAATATTGCACGCTGCTGTATTCCACCTCCACCTCTCTCCCATCCACACACCCATTTTCCGATCTCACTCTGAACAGGCGTAGGAACCCAAGCTAGAAGCTCCCCCTTTCTTTTTTCTTCGTTCCTCACGGAAATAAAGTCCTGCCGTCGATAGGTGATTAACTCGAGATTGTTTATTTGTCTAGATAATTTTCTGTGTGGGTGCGCTCGCAGGTTTTACAGAGAAAGAAAAATCGTCGGCTCAAAAAGAAAAAAACCCGTGCATGCCTTTCCTGTTTTCCATCTCCTGCTGGCGGCTGCCCAGTGCCCACACATGCCTTATTTAAAGATGGCAACGGGTACCCGGCTGGGTACAATGAACCCATAACCCATACTCGTGCCCATGAAAAAAAATCATGCCTGTTAAAAAACCCATACCCGCAGACGGGTACAAATATATACCCATACCCGTGCCCGAGCGGGTAACGGGTACCCACGGGTTGCCCATGCCCGACAAACTACTGGCTTCGCCCGACGGGGATCTCAACCTCCGAATCTGGATCCGCGGCCGCGGGAGGATTGGCGGCAGCATCCCTTCAGGACGACGGGAGGGGAGTCAGTAGAGCAGTTGCAAGACTTCAACCTAGTGGATCCGCGCGTTAAGAGGATGAGGAAGAAGTATCACTGGTCGTCATTGTTGGCGCCGCCGGTGGTCACCGCCATGGCCGACTCTAACTACAACCTAGCGGATCCGTGCGGGTTGGAAGTCATTGGGGGCGGGAAGGAGACTACGGGAGACGCGACACGCCGCACGCAACTGCGTGACTCGCCGCTCGCGAGCACGACAGGAGTGGGAGGCTGGGAGCGGGACTCGTGACTTCGTTAGGCTGTGTCGGGTTGATGGTGCGGCGGCGGCCGCCAGAAAGGTAGAAACGATTCGGAAAGGGGGTGGTCTAGGGTTCCATTCCTATTTATATGTGTTGTTATTGGGCTTGGTCTGAATGGGAATACTTGGGCTAGAATATATCAGATACAGTTGGAGCCGGGTAAAATTTACCCATGGGTTTGTGGGTATGGGTACACCAGGAATGTACTCGTACCCGCAACCCCGATGGGTATGAGTTTTTTTCCAATTAACAAACCCATGGGTTTAGATAGTGACCCATGCCTATGCCCTAATGGAGTAAAAGCCTATCGGGTTTCGGGTCGCTGGTACCCATTGCCATCTTTAGCCCTTATCTATACACGCGCTCATCCACCTCCTTAGCGCCTGTCCATCTCCCTCACTCGCGACATATCTCGGCCTTCCGCCCGCCCTTGCGCCCCCGGCCCCTCCCCCCGTCTAGGCCTCCCTGCAGCCGCTGCAAGCTGCCTCACAAACACACCGAGCAACAGCACGTCCCTTGCGTTCTCACTTCTCCCACTTCCATCGTTCGTGACCCCAACAGCACGCCCCATGGAGAGGACTGAGGAGAACCATTGCACTGGAGCCCAGAGCTTGGAGGAGCCCCTCGCCGCCTCGCCGCCCTTCGTCGTCTCCGGATTTCTACGACCGCGATAGGGGAGTCACCCCCTTGAGCCTTCTTGACACCGAGTTCTCCAAACTCCAGCCATCTGGTGCCGCCTTGGAGAGGTTCTAGCAGGAAGAGCTCGACCACCAACTGACTCGCTCTTATTCTCCACACCACGCGCCCACGCCGCGGGTTTCCGCACGACCCCTTCTCCGAGAAGCTACACGGCACCATGCCGTCTCCTTTATTTCGGGCAGCCGGCTGCTGAACCAAGGTCTCGCCGCCGCCGCTGGTGTCGAGGTCCAGATCATACCGACCGGCGTTGATTTTGAGCTCGACTTTGTTATATACATATGTTTGGTGGCCTTTATTTAGTACGTGATTTTGATTTATCTGATTTTGTTTTGGACTCGACCTAGATTTGGTTTGTGTTGTTTGCTAGGTACCAGGCCCATGTCTTGGTATGTGATTTTGATCAATTGGGTATCTGATTTTGTTTTGGACTGGATCTAGAATCTGAATTTGTTTGTGTGGTTTACTGGGCATCAGGTCCGGTAGTCTTGTGGTCACGTACGAGGTGGATCAGGACCTGCAACTTTTGATAGGAATCCTAGATCGGAAAATGCGAGAGACAGGAGCGTGAGATTGGAGACGGTTAGGCGGCTAGACCAAACAAATGGAACCCAAAAAAATTGAGGAAAATTTGCCTCTTTATTATTAGGATTTTTTTTCTTGTATATTTGCGTTGAGAATGTAACAGAACCGACCAATTATACGAAATTAAGTAAGAAAATCATCCGCCAGAGCAGACGAATTAGCAAACTTAAGCCCGTATAACCCGGTAGTCCGTGAAATCACGAAGGATTTCAAACCAACTTCCATTCCAGCCAAGATCGTAATAAGTTTAGCGGTCACCATC